CCCCCACTCTTGTACCCTAAAGTTCAAAGTGGGGATACAGCCTTGACGGGGGGGTTAGTTTGTTTTCTGCTGCTGAAAGTTAACAGGAAAACCGCAGCACTCAACGGGCTTTGCTTGGTATGTGGGAAAGGAGGGCGCAGAAGCTGAAAGACAATGGCTTACCATGGCTGCATGCAAGCCGAATTCTGTTGCCCGGACCTGTGTCTGTGATCTCTAGCAGCAAAGCCACAGGCACTCAATATTAAGAGTCAAAATTACATGTGCTATGTAATGTGAATAGTGTTGGTCACCGTGAAAGAGTATAAGCATTGTTCTGCAAAATGTATCTTTTTAAAAAATTCTCTCATTTTTTCCCTCCCTCCTGCAGCTGCAAATTCTTCAAGCCTCCCTCCTCCATCCCGAAGGCTAGCACAGATAAGGCATCGGAAGAAGAAGACGCGAGACGAGATGTTTGCAGAAATCATGCAATCCACCCGCAGTGACAGAGCTAATCTGAATGAGTGGAAGGACACGGTTTCAAAGTATAGGAAAGAAGCCAGTGAACGTGAGGACAGGAGGGACCAACGTGAGGACATGAGGGACCAACGTGAGGACAGGAGGGACCAACGTGAGGACAGGAGGGACGCTCGAGATGAGAGGTGGCGGCAGGAAGATCAGAGGAGTCGGAAAGCAACGCTGGGGCTACTGCGAGAGCAAACAGACATGCTCCGGCGTCTGGTGGAGCTTCAGGAATGGCAGCAGGATTACAGGGTGCCGCTACAGCCCCTGTATAACTCCCCTCCCCCCTCACCATGTTCCATATCCTCCTCACCCAGACGTGTAAGAACGCGGGGGGGGGAGGCTCCGTACACCTTCCCATTCCACCCCAGTGGACAGCCCAAGCAAAAGGCTGTCATTTTTTTAACCATTTCTTAATGGCCTTTTCCTTCCCTCCTCCCAAACCCCACCCGGGATCCCTCCCTCTTTTTATAATCTATGAATAAAGAATAAATTATTTTTAAACGATAGTGACTTTATTTGGTTTGAAAGCAAGCTGGGAGAAGGGGGAGGGTGGGTTACTTACAGAGAATGAGTCAATAAAGGGGGCTGGTTTTCATGAAGGAGAAACAAACAGAAATTTCACACTGTAGCTTGGCCAGTCATGAAACTGGTTTTCAAAGCTTCTCTGATGCACACTGCTTCCTGGTGTGCTCTTCTAATCGCCCTGGTGTCTGGCTGCGCGTAATCAGCAGCCAGGCGATTTGGATCAGCCTCCCACTCTGCCATAAAGGTCTCCCCCTTACTTTCACAGAGATTGTGGAGCACACAGCAAGCAGAAATAACAATGGGGAGATTTCTTTGGCTGAGGTCAGAGCGAGTCAGTAGCGATCGCCAGCGACCTTTTAAACGGCCAAATGCACATTCTACCACCATTCTGCACTTGCTCAGCCTGTAGTTAAACAGCTCCTGACTCCTGTCCAGGCTGCCTGTGTATGGCTTCATGAGTCATGGCATTAAGGGGTAGGCTGGGTCCCCAAGAATAACTATTGGCATTTCAACATCCCCAACGGTTATTTTCTGGTCCGGGAAGTAAGTCCCTTGCTGCAGCCCTTTAAACAGAATAGTGTTCCTGAAGACGCGAGCATCATGAACCCTTCCCGGCCAGCCCGCGTTGATGTTGGTGAAACGTCCCTTGTGATCCACCAGTGCTTGCAGCACCATTGAAAAGTACCCCTTGCGGTTTACGTACTGGCTGCCCTGGTGCTCCGGTGCCAAGATAGGGATATGGGTTCCATCTATCGCCCCACCACAGTTAGGGAATCCCATTGCAGCAAAGCCATCCACTATGACCTGCACATTTCCCAGAGTCACTACCTTTCGTAGCAGCACCTCAATGATTGCTTTGGCTACTTGCATCACAGCAGCCCCCACAGTAGATTTGCCCACTCCAAATTGATTCCCGACTGACCGGTAGCTGTCTGGCGTTGCAAGCTTCCACAGGGCTATCGCCACTCGCTTCTCAACTGTGAGGGCTGCTCTCATCTTGGTATTCTGGCGTTTCAGGGCAGGGGACAGCAAGTCACAAAGTTCCATGAAAGTGCCCTTACGCATGCGAAAGTTCCGCAGCCACTGGGAATCATCCCACACCTGCAACACTATGTGGTCCCACCAGTCTGTGCTTGTTTCCCTTGCCCAGAATCGGCGTTCCATGGATAGAATCTGCCCCATTAACAACATGATCTCCAAAGCACCAGGGCCCGTGGTTTGAGAGAATTCTGTGTCCGTGTCCGTGTCCATGTCCTCATCACGCTGGTCGCTGCGCTCCCGCCGCCGCCGCCTCCTCGCCTCGTTTTTCTGGTCCTGGCTCAGCATAAACTCCACGAGAACGCACGAGGTGTTTACAATGTTCATGACTGCTGTCTGGAGCTGAGCGGGCTCCATGCTTGCCGTGGTATGGAGTCTGCAGTGTTCACCCAGGAAAAAAGGCGCGAAATGGTTGTCTGCCGTTCGTTGCTTTCATGCAGGGAGGGAGGGGTGAGGCTGTACCCAGAACCACCTGCGACAATGTTTTGGTCCCATCAGGCACTGGGATCTCAACCCAGAATTCCAATGGGCAGGGGAGACTGCGGGAACTATGGGATAGCTATGGGATAGCTACCCACAGTGCAACGCTCCAGAAATCGACGCTAGCCCCGGTACATGGACGCACACCGCCGAATTAATGTGGGTAAAAACCGAATTAATGTGCTTAGTGTGGCCGCATACAATCGAATTTATACAATCTGTTTCCCAAATTCGAATTATCTAAATTCGGATTAATCCCGTAGTGTAGACGTACCCTTAGACAAATCCTCAGTATCAGACAGATAGAAAAGAAAAGAAAAAAAAGGGAAGAACTCTGGAGGAAGATTAAACAAAAACTGATGGGACAGGAAATTCTAGAACGAAAATGCAGATGGCTAGAACATACATGGACAAAAGACTTGAATAATATAATAAGACCGGCGTTGGACTGGAACCCCCATGGCAAGAGGCAATAAGGTAGACCATGAGTAACATGAAAATGCACAATAGAAGCAGAATTGTTAGTTATCAAATTGACATTGGAAGTAACTAAGGCTGCAGTAGGAGACTGGCAAAGATGGAAGGCCCTATGTTCCACAAGGAATGAAGAGGAATAAGATAAGAAAGAAAGAGTATCATTTATGAAGCACTGTACATTTACACCGTGATTTCAAACATTCCTATGGAGCCCATCACTATAGAATGTAGGTGCCAAACATGTATCAGACATCTAGCAGAGGGGAAAAAAATGAGAAGCAGCAAACTGTAGACATAGGTGTCTTTTTAACCCAGCACACTGGAACTAACCCACTCTAATATGGCTCAGTGTTTGCATCTACACATTCTAGACAAACATTTTCCATCTGCTCATTGATCACAGATCAGAGGGGAGAAAATGTGAGAAAGAAAGACAGAAATGGTCATCTCTGGAACTTTTCACACATCTTTTCCCATTATATTAACACAGGTTGTTATATGTGCTGTTAATGGCTTAAGTAATAAGACGTTTGAACCAAACAATTAATATAATGAAAAACAGAAAGACAAGAGTCTTTGACTCCTCAGTTTCCAACGGACATGAAACAATCCCTACCATGTGTGTTTCTGAGTCTTTCCACCAGAAAACGGGTTTCCTCCTGGATACGCTCCTCAATGCTTTTCTTCCCCATCCCAAAATTTCTCAGATTAGTGAGGGCAAATCGGCGGAGCTGCTTCCACCGCTCCCCGTTGCTGAAAACAATACCTGAAAACAGGACGAGAACAGGAATGAAAGGAGGGAGATCCAGACTCAGTTTGCCTATTTGACAAATACCCAAATATTGGTGAGTCAAAGGTTCAGCTTCAACATCACTGATATTGTGCCTGTTTTCTACTAGGGAGATGATAATACCACTACATTGCAATTACTGTTCGCAGCATTGCTGTCGCCATGTTGGACTCTGGATATGGCAGAGACAAGGTAGGTGAGGTAATATCTTTTATTGGATCAACTTATGTTGGTGGAAGGGACAAGCTTTTGAGCTTCACCGAGCTCTTCCTCAGGTCTGCAGCAGTTAATTAGCGCGTCCAAGCTAAAAACAAGGTGGGACAGACTGCAAAAGAGTTTCACACTTAAAGAGACACTGTTTTTATGGCCCATTACAATATTTGTAAGACAGACTGGTGACTACTTACCCACTCCTGCAGAGGTGTTAATTGACCATTATAGGCCACTTCATTTTCAGTGGTTTCCCACAATGTGCCCAAGTTACAAGCTGTAGCGAAGCAAAACTCACCACTGCGGCGCCTCCAGGGAATTAACTTGTCCAGCCTTTGGAGCGCCCTCTGCAGGCCAATGTCCCGCTTGTCTCTGGCCCCCATGTCCCTCCCGGACCCTGGTGCCCCTTTAGCTTGGGTGCTGCCTCCTGGCAGTACCCCCACTCTCTGGGCTCCCCTCCCAGGGGAATTCCCACCCTCTATCCCCACCTTGCCTCAGTGCCAGTCACCATCTAGCCCCTGCTCACTGGGGCGGACTGCAGTCTATACCACTCATCAGGGGGGTTTGAACCAGCGGACCTCCCGCAGGCACGCCGCCAAAGGCCGCCTGACTGCCGCCTTCACAGCAACTGGCAGGCCGCCCCTCGCAGCTTGCCGCCCCAGGCACGCGCTTGCTGCACTGGTGCCTGGAGCCGCCCCATGGAACCATTCATGTCAGTGAACCAGTGGTGTTACCCAGGGTTTTCAGAACCCAAAAATGTGGTAACTTAACTGTTTCACTCCAGGCAGCATCAAGAATGAATCAATGAGATAAATCGGATAAATGATTGATATAAGCATGCTCTCATCTAAATCTCCGATTTATGAGCTATTAAGCACACAGAGACATAAGCAATAGGTTTGGAACATGTCAGTTGATTTTATAATGACAAGAGAGATTTTTCCCTTCATTTTACTCCTGTTGGTCTGCAGAGCCAAAGACAGAGAAAAGCGAGATTCTGTTTCCCCTTTTACATCACCAGAGGAATTACTGTCCATATTCCAATTGATTACACCTGTGCAAATCAACAGACAAACACATCTGTATCTCAGGGCATGATGAGAAGAGAATGAAGGTGAACAGCTGTAACTGGGGGTAGAATTTGTCCTGTACAATCCTCATTATTTGTGATGATTTGCCAGAAGGAAAGTATCAAACCTGTCTCTCCAATCCCAGGTTGTGTTTGCAGAGCTCGCTAAAATGCCAGAACATGCAGCACTACAACGTCATTTCTTCAAAGCTGAGCTGCAATTTCTGCCTTACCATCATTTTGTGATGCAGGCAAATATCATTAGAGCAATTTTACAGATGGAAAAATTAAGGAACAAAGCGGTTAAGTGACATGGCCAAGAGCACACCTGGAGTCTGTAGCAGAGGTAGGTACAGACCCCCAAGGCTCACCACTGCCATTTCCTTACATAACCCACTAGAGCACTGTCCCCACACTGTGATCACTTGTACCCATTGCAGTGCAGCTGCGGGGGGCATTCTGGATTAACTGTGAATAAGATCCCCTCTAATATGAGCAGTACATTATCCTGAACAGTTTACATCTAGCCTCCAAGCTTGATTGTTTAGTGAAATAAGAAGTCAGAAATTTGAGATGAGTGATATGGAATTGCTGCCAGGCTCTGCTTAATGCCTGCCTACAACCCAGCAACTGATACCGTGAAAACACCCTTACCTCCTCTACACGTTGGGGCAAGTTCTTTGTTTTCAGCTGCAGCATGTTCCCTATGATGGGAAAAGCAACAGGGCCAGGAGGCAGCTTCCCACTTCCAGACATCTTTCTCCATGCCGAAAGGAAAAGAAGGCAAGAGACACAAATCACCAGGAAAACAGTTGTTGCTCCCAGAGGTTCCATTGCAGAGTGCAGCAATTATTCTGAGTTCCAATAGGGGTTTACTTTGTACTTCAGACTCTTCACTTTTTGTACTGTACACAGCAAAAGCGGGTGCAAGCAATTAGCCAATAGGAGCTCTGAGTTCCCCTGAGTTAATGAGATAAGCTCTGGACTAACAAAGGTGATTGGAGTTGTCAAACTAGGAATGAACTCCTTTGAACCTTTATTAATATCTCATCTCCATTTGCCATTGTGTACTCACTGACAGAGCATGACAATTAATCCTTAACTGAATCTCTGTAAAACTGCCCAAACTATCATGAAATCATCCTCTCTCTGCACTCATATTGTTAAATGTTTCTCATAGACTTGGTGCTGGCTAGATCATTTTACACATATAATATTTCCTTTTCATGTTGCTATCCAGGATTTAGCATATGGATCGGTGAGCAGCAGACACTTAAGAAAAACACCAAGCTGAATGTTTGATAAATATTTAAACTGAATCCTGAACCTTTTTGGAGATTTCACAAAGTCTTGTTAAACTTTAAAAAATGTTGTGACCCTCCCCTCCCCCTTATATTGAACCTGTACAACTCTTGGTTTCAAACTGAAACATTAAGGCCTGGTCTACACTAGGAGTTTATGTCGAATTTAGCGCCGTTACATCGAATTAACTCTGCACCCGTCCACACCACGAAGCTATTTAGTTCGACATAGAGGTCTCTTAAATTCGATTTCTGTACTCCTCCCCAACGAGGGGAGTAGCGCTAAATTTGACATGGCCATGTCGAATTAGGCTAGGTGTGGATGGAAATCGACGCTAATAGCTCCGGGAGCTATCCCACAGTGCACCACTCTGTTGACGCTCTGGACAGCAGTCCAAGCTCGGATGCTCTGACCAGCCACACAGGAAAAGCCCCGGGAAAATTTGAATTCCCTTTCTTGTCTGGGCAGTTTGAATCTCATTTCCTGTTTGGACATCGTGGCGAGCTCAGCAGCACTGGCAACGATGCAGAGCTCTCCAGCAGAGATGGCCGTGCAATCGCAGACTAGAAAGAGGGCCCCAGCATGGACTGATCAGGAAGTCTTGGATGCCACAAGTACTCCTGTTCTTTTTGCAGATACAGACTAACACGGCTGCTACTCTAACACCTCAAGAGAGAGATCTTGAGTCATTGTGAATAGGTCTCTGAAAACATCTGCTCAATGTGCAGCGGCAGTCAAAAATGTGAATAGAATGTTAGGAACCATTAGGAAAGGGACAGATAACAAGACAGAAAATATCATAATGCCTCTCTATAAATCTATGGTATCCCCACATCTTGAATACTGTGTGCGGATCTGGTCACCTCATCTCAAAAAAGATTATTGGAACCGGAGAAGGTACAGAGAAGGGCAACAAAAATGATTAGGGGGTTGGAACAGATTCTGTACGAGGAGAGATTAAAAAGACTGGGACTGTACATCTTGGAAAAGAGACAACTAAGGGTGGATATGATAGAGGTCTAATAAAATGTTGATTGGTGTGGAGAAAGTGAATAAGGAAGTGTTATTTACTCCTTTAAACAACACAAGAACTAGGGACACCCAATGAAATTAATAGGCAGCAGGTTTAAAACAAACAAAAGGAAGTACTTCACATAACGCACAGTAAACCTGTGGAACTCATTGCCAGGGGATGGTGTACAGGCCCAAACTATAATAGGGTTAAAAAAGAACTAGATATGTTAATGGAGGATAGGTCCATCCATGGCTATTAGTCAGGATGGGCAGGGATGCAATCCCATGCTCTGAGTGTGACAATGTTCCTAGCCTCTGTTTGCCAGAAGCTGGGAGTGGACAACAGGGGATGGATCACTCGAAGATCACCTGCTCTGTTCATTCTCTCTGAAGCACCTGGTATTGCCTACTGTCAGAAGACAGGATACTGAGCTAGATGGACCATTGGTCTAACCCAGGATGGCCGTTCTTATGTTCTTATGATCCCTCAAGTCTTGGGAGTGGGAATATCTTGCTGTATTATCTCCTGATTCTTCTAAATTTACATATAAAATTAAAATATGGCTTCAAATGGTGTTTGTGTGTGCATGTATATATTTTTCTTTATATAGGAATTAGATATAGTGCTCCTCTCATCTAATTTCTAAGTTATTATCTGCCAAAAACCCTAAGAGTTTTCATGTGTCTAAATAGCTCTTAGAATCACAGTTAAAGTTGCCCCCTGTACATATCTGAAATGGCGCCCCGTCCCCAGGACCTAACATTTTGTGAGTGTGTGTGTATGTTTGTGTGAGAGACTGTTACCTTCTATTTCTGGGTGTAACCCCCTTGGGGTTTAGAGAGCATGGCCCCTTTAAATCTTTTTCCTAGGGGGCAGAGGGAGAGTGAGAAAAAAGAAGGGAAACTTCAGGCGGTGGCTCTGGAGCTGGGAGGGAGGGAGAGGCAGCAGCCCGCAGGCCCTCGCAAAGGAAGCAGAGAGAACCTGCCTAAAGCCTGGGAAGGACAGGGCGGCCGATTGGGGACACCCCAGGACAGAAGCCAGGAGGAGCACTGTGCCAGGGAGGAATCGCCTGAGAAGGACAGGCCGGATCTGGACCCAGTATCATAGCTGCCCAGAGCTGCATGGGGCTGTGACTCTGCATTGGGAACAAGGAGGGAGGTTGCTAGATAGTTAAGTGCGGAGGTGGTCGCTCTGTGTGGCTTTGCAGAGAGCGGCAGAAGAGGGCACCAGAGGGGTTTGTTGGGGGAAAGTTCACTGGCGCCGAAGACGACCAGGAGCACCCAAGACTCACCACTGGACTGGAACTTTGCTCAGGACTTCTGAACTCTGTTTGCAGACACATTGCTCGGTGTCTGCCCTTCCAGACTGTGCTACCACTGGGCCCGTGGGGCCTTGGTTTGGATGCAACCCTGTTTTACTGCTCCCCCTATATTTCCCCTTGTTGTATTTCTCCTCTCATCCCTCTGTAAATAAATATTTCCCTCTCTTATATCCATTATACTTTTCCTGTGGGTGGGTGTGTTCACTCTGGGGGGTGTGGAACAGGTGCCCCTGGGGTGGAAGGAATTTCTCCTGCTGCATTCCTGTGCGCGCCATCTCTTGGGCAGAGCTGCCTGCAGAGCAGACTCCATCTTGGCCACTAGGGCGCTAAAGTTACATGGGTATTTCAGAAGAATCAGGAGTCCAAATTTTACGGTGGTGCTGGCTGTCCCTGTTCCAGCGACAAATAAGTCTACCGTGCTTTGTACCAAACATTCCACATTAAATTCTGACTGGACATTCTTGTGCTCCTGAAAAAAGATTTGGTGAAGATCTTTCAGTTTTCACTGTTAAGCTGTAGGATATATTCTTATAAGCCAAAAAAGTGTCATCTTCTATCCAATAGGTGACCCACCTGTCATCATTATAAAAATCTGACACAAATGGCCCATAGCATCTGAGATTACAGCAGCATTACTGCAGTGCCTTGGGTCTTTTCTGTGCAATACAATGATTTTTACTTTACACGAAGTAGAAGAACAGAGCTTGACCATTATAATTTACATTCCTTGGGCACAGACCATGTCTCTCCTTCAGGCCTTCTCCAAAGCTATGTACTCTGTTTTGCCTCCACCACAGTAATGGGGAAGGGCTGCTGCCCTCACATACCTCTCCCATTATGATGAGGAAAGCATCGATGAAGTCTCAAGGGTAGTTGGGATCCAAAGACTCTTTGTGCATCTTCACTCTCTCCAGAACAAATCTTCTGAACTCCTCAACATTTTTAAATATCCCCCAGGGAGGCCCAGGCATGTAATCCATGAGAGTTGGGAAAAAATTGCACAGCTATAAAGATTGAAAGAAAAACACAGGTTGATTTATCTGGACACAACAGATAATCATAGTGTTCACTCAAATGACTCAACTACAGCAGTACAATACAAAATTTCTGTGGCACTTTCTTATCAAAATGGATTCAACAGAATGTTACAAACTCCATTAAGTCAGACTACCGAACATACACAAATTCCTCACAAAAACCGCACTGACGTTCAGTTATATCAGCTAAGATACATGCCATTTTTTCCAACATAACACACATCCTTTTCTTGAAAAACAACACTCAAGTCCCCAACCTTAGCTCTAACCACAGATTTTCTTAGGCAGCTATAAACCATTATAGATTTTAAAAGGAAAATACACCTTAGACTTCCTGAGGTGGCAGTTAAAGGGTCAAATTATCTGCTGGTGTAACTACATTTATTTTGACTGAACTATGCCAGCAGAGAGTTTGGCCCTTCATTGTGCATTTTGTGAGATTTCCAGGAATGGGGTGCATGTGTGGTGGCTGGCTGTGAACTGGAAGTGAAAGGAAGTTTGCTTTGGAGGTGAGGAATGTGATCACATTCACCTATCACATTGCAAAACTGCTAGGGCATGTTTTGATGTTGCTGTGGATATCAGTGTTTTTATTGGTGATTTCCTTGATTTTTACCAATTGTGTTTAAAGAGAATGTCCTCAAGCAAACTTAATACTGAGCTAATGACGTGTTTTGTGCGGGAATATAAAAAATACATAGAAACAAGTTTGAGGCTGGGTTTGGTAGCAGCAGCAGCTTAACGAGGAGAATGAGACCATTATGGGAATCCAAAATAACACTTGTTTAGGGAAAATTAATAGTTAAAGAAAGAAATCTCTGTCCCCTCCCCCAGTACAAAGGAGAAGAATAGAATAAACCCCTGAACACACCGCTGTCCAGGGGGAGCGCTGGAGCTTGCCATTCTCCTCTATGAGATTAACTAAAGTCACAAACTTCTTATCTTCATAGTCAAACCGGTCCCCAAAGATGATGGCGCAGATGATGTTGGAGACGGCGTGGGTGAGGAAGAGGGTGGGGTCAAAGGGCCGCCCTGGAGCAAAACAAAACTATAAAGAGTCAGTTTTAATTCAGTGTCTTCACCGTCAACATCAGAGTCACTGGCAGCACGGGGACGTTGTGGATCTCCCACCCCAGGGCAAGGTGGGGCTGACAGCAATATTCCCTGGGGAGGGTG